GATGTCTTTGAACTTAGTTAAGTGATCATCTAATGATGTATCTTCGGACACTTGTTAAGATTACAAGCGGTGTTTCAAGTGTAACTTGGTGGTCAAGCTCTTCGTCATACAAAGTTGCTCCAACTTCCACTACAATGTAGTGGAACGTTTTTTCTTTAGAATGTCCTGAGGGATTTGATTTGAGATTGAAGGCATTTTATCAAAGCCAAACAATGCTTCCTTCAAATCCATCTGCGTGAGAACTGCTCCCATTTTCACTTGCCATAAAATAAATATCTTGTTTCGATCCAATGACGGAAAATCATAATTCATCATAGTCATGCATAATAATTAACCTTACTCCGGTACCACTTGTTACGGGTTGATTGCTAGATAATGACAATAATGAACTAAACAAGAACAAAATAAAAACACCAAATTTATATGGAAATCCAAGATGTGAAAAAACCTCTAGTCCAAAGGAGGAGAAATCCGTTATAATCAATTGTAATTGTGTGCACAAAAGGATCTCAATAAGTAATTAAGATCTAAAGCTCTCAAGATGTTGTATGAATGTTATGAGAATAATACAAGCCGTGACTTGTATATATAAGATGCTAAAAATCAAGTTGTAGATTAATATGAGTCCAAAAATGAGTAAGAAAGAAAAACGGCCCAGGCCTGATAACCTTATCACTTGAGCGATAGGTGAGTAGTAGGCGGGCGACAGTTTCGCTGCTCGAGCACCAGGTGGGTGATGGGCAGCGACAAATCTCTATAGAAAATATGCAAGCGTCGCTAGAGTGGCCAGCTAGAGGCAAGCTATTGAAAATGCGACAACTTTTCTTCCTAGTCCGTAATTTTGATCTCTTCAACCCAAGCTCCAATGTCCATTAGAATCTGGATTGAACTACATCACTGAATCTAGACTGATTGGATAAAAATATCGAATTTCGACTTAAATGGATACAAATTTGAATCCTAATTATCTAGTTGCAAATAGCTTTCTTGATTAACTAGACCAAAACCAGCCAAATTCAAGAACACGTACCTCAACAAAAGTTCTCAGTAAATTCTAAATCTCAACCATATCTAAAATCTCAACTTCGACAACTTGTGTCAATATCCTTCCAAAAATTAATCAAAATCTAACTTCAGTAACAACCTATTTTCAAAAAGAATAGCTCAACCACTAAACAATAATGTTGTAAGGCCATCTCAAATGTTATCACCAAAACACCAAACTTCATCAAAATTTGGTGCAAAAGCTCTCTAATGGGGCACGAAAATTTAAACTATTTTGGGCAAAATGCAAAAAGGTGCAACGTCAAATTTGCCCTTTCTTCCATTTGTCAAAGTAATTGATGGAGGGTATTTGTGTCATTTGTAATATATATATATATTTTAATACAATTATTATTATTATTATTATTATTACTATTACTATTACTATTACAATTATTATTTCCATTTAAAATTTATTTTAAGTGTAAAAGATAATAATTATTGAATTAATTAAAATAAGACTAAAAAAATTAATATATAACAAACACGATTATTTAAAGTTAATACGAAACATATTATAATAACCACATACATATATTAATCGATCATTTGTGGGAAGAACGTACGAATTTCGAGAATTAAAATGTAGTGATATTTCTACTTTGTAATATCATAATATTCAAATTCGAAATGCATTGCACTATTTTTTATATTTAATAATGAATTTAAACTTATTTGGTAAGTTTTAGTGTAATGCTTGGAGATGATTTTAGTTTGGTGCAGAATTGTGCAAAAATTTGATACGGCGTTGAAAATGGCCAACGACCCAGCATTTATATCCAAATCGTTATATCACAAGTATTGTCAACCAATTAATATGAGAATTCAACTTAAGCCTCTCATTAAACAGAGGCTTTGTGTTCGAATCCTTGGGACATGATATAAAGTTGTGAGGGAGTAAGTGGGCGATGTCCACCAAAGCGGACACTAGTATGATATAACAGCTTGGGCATAGAAGAAAAAGAGTAAGTTCGATTCTCTTATCTTGATTTCTCGAACCGAGAAATCCAAGAATTGGAATCTGGGCCGTTACAAAAGATGTGAGTTGGTTCCCATTATGACTTTATGTATTTAGCTTGGGCATTGTACTTTATCAATAATACTTAGAACTTGATTAAAAAAACTCATTTTTGAAAACAATATAAGTATGCCAAGATTACATGTTGTCTGGAAAATGATATAATCAAACCTTATTATTTCTTAAAAATATTTTGATTTTAAAAAAAATTATATATTTAACAATTAGTTTGTGTATAATTTTAACTCCGCTTACTCGAAAGTAGTGGGTCCCAATTCTAAATAAAAGAACAAGGGCTTTCAAAAAATAGTTTTCATATCTAATTTCAAAATTTCAAATCTCAATTGCAAAACATTGGATGAATGAGTCAAGATTTTTTTTTTTTTTTTTATGCTAGTATATTTCTTAATACTTATGTGTGCACCTGTAACGCCCAAAAAAAAAAATTAGAATAAAAATGTATTATGTTATTTTCATATTTTAAAAAAAGGACTAAAATGAAATTGTTTTAAATTCATAATCCTATATGAGTCATATAATTAAATTTCGAAAGAGCAAATATAAGTATATCAATATTGGGCTCATTGGATAGCTCGTAATTAATTATATATATATTAGTCCCGAGAAAAAGGCAATTCGGATTAGTTAGACTCTAGATATTGAAGTTCATAGACCTTATCATTTATTAGTAATTGTTTATTATTATTATTATTATTCATTTTTTTAAGAATGGCAACACGTGTAGTTGGATAGGGTTGGAATAAAATAGTATTTTTTTTGTATGAATGATAATATATATATATATACACACACACACATATATATATACAGTCAATTTTCTTGGGATAGTACACAATAACCATGACCTTTTGCTCCCATGGTGTCAGCTGTCCTTGATTAAGAATTTGGTAATTGCCTTATTTGAAATGAAATGAATTGGATACGTGTATAAATAAAAGGCAAATTAGTAAATTGAGCCACTAATATGGAAAAACATGTGGCTTTATTAGGTGATATTAATATTATAGATGGAAAATCTTTGTCTACCTAAATAAGCATTGCAAGTTGAAAATACAAAAATAAATGAAATTGTGATATTTTTAATTGAACGGAAAGGGATATTCATGAATTGTACAAAAAAGGGGGAGTCTTAGAAGGTGAAATTACTGCATTTCTTTCAAGAAAACTCTTTTTGTCAATCAAGGTAGGACTACAAGGTGTAAGTATTTTGTCCCGTCTAGATTATATTTTTTTCATGTTGATAAATTATTATACTTATGAAAATTATGAATTGATATGATGATTATGGTATGATATGAAATGACTATCCGGTACTAAAGATATGATATACTATGAGCTCTTACCAGTTTCAAACGATATGATGACGGTATGATTTTTTGAAAGCATGATCTAAATATTTTATTCGGGATCGCACCACTATTTTCGCGTCCAACTGAGTATATTCATGCACTCACTCTTTTCCCTACTCCTCACAGGTTAGAACGGGTTGTTAGTTGGCGGGCTTGTGGTGTTGTCATGATACCATGACTTATGGGACAGACTAAAAATAATCCGCAGTAATAAGATAATTTTCTTTTATGTTAAAAATTTCTTAGTTTTAAATTCACAAAAAGTTTTAATTTGAAATTTTAAACATGTCTAATTAAGTATTAAATATAAAACTTTGTTATGTTTTTATTGGTGGAAAATTTTATTTGTTAATATGTTTAGAATATATCATGTTTGGTAGCGATTAAAATTACAAAAATTTGGGTAGTTACAGTTTGGTATCAGAGCCTAGGTTTACTTTTTTTGTAGACCCATTATGATTTTTTTTTTTGTGATTAGGAATTAAAAAAAAAAAAAAAAACTGTTCATAAATGAACAGTGACGACGATACTGGTCATAATGAACGTTACCATGTCACTTTTCGTAATGAATAATGATAAAAAAAAAAAAGTTAAGTAGTTATGGTCATAGGTTATGATTAAATAAAGTGCTAATTGTGATTAATGTTTAAGTCAAATTACATAACTAGAAATCTAGCCTTCGTTTGCCCCATGAAAAATTATTAAATTTCCAACTTTTTCAAATATTGCTAGGCCCCACATATAAATTATAATTGACAGCACACTTATGTGGTTCACGAGGGTTTGACTACTAAATTGATTAATGCATAAAATGACATTTGTGCCTCTAGTTTTGCCATCTTGCTGAGCGGTGGCAAGAGTAAGAATGGCATTACACAAGTAAAATGGGAGGTACATAAGTTAATGGGGTTCAAACGGGTGGCAATGATGACTGGGAAATGCTTACAATGTTTAAAAAAAAAAAAGAATTATTATGGTATTTACACACAAAACTTGGTGTTCTAAAACGTTGCATATAATATATGTGGCAAAAGAGTATGTTGGCAAGAGTCTACATTACAGTTATATGAATGAATATTGTATAATGATGCTTATTTTTAGCAGGCAAAAATAAATAAATAAATGAAATAAATAATAATAATAATAATACGATATAATAACTGTAATTGTATAATATCGAAGGTTACAATGCTTGTTTGAATTATATTTAATATTTTATGCTAATAGCGGATGTTGTAACCCGTAGGCATATATCTTATCCATTGCGTTTGTGTATTATTAATTTCTTGTTAATATAAACTATGTGATATTGTTTCAATTTACTGACTATTGCTTGCTAAATGTACATGAAATGATGATGTTATCTATAATAATATCTTAGACTTAGTACTAATAGATGATGAGTGACTTAATGTTAAATTTTAGGAAATGGTACCACCTACCCACACAAATTTGATGCGTGACTTGTTGCAAATGGTGTAGGAGTTGACTAGACAAAATCAAGTACCTCCACCACAAAATGGGCTACCACAGCAGGATGCACTCTATCTGTCCTTGGAGTTGTTTCCATGGTTGAGCAGTTTCGTAGGAATAAGCCTCCTACTTTCAATGGAAATTCTGACCCACTGGCCGTTGAGGAGTGGATTAGAGGTCTGGAATGCATTTTTCGACATATTTCTTACATGGATGCACAGAAGGTACTATGCGTAGATTCAAGTTGATTGGAGTAGCCGGTTACTGGTGGGAATCTGTCACACACACTAAGACCGAAGAGCAACAGGTAACCTGACTTGCGAACAATTTAAGAAAGAAGTGATGGAAAAGTACTTCCCACATGCTTTGAGAGACTTCAAGGAATTAGAGTTTTTACAGCTCAAATAGGAAAACACGTTGCTTACTAATTCGAGAGATAGTTTGAATAGCTCTCAAGGTATACCCCACACTTAGTAGTTACAGAAGTCAAGAAGATCAGGAGGTTTGAAAATGGACTATACCAAAAAATTGGAATGATCATTATGTCGCATCGTTTCACTTCATATCGTGAAATGTTGGAGAGGGTTTATACTATTTCATATTAGAGGACTACATTTGAGCAGTATGCCCAACAGAGCAAGGAGTCGTTAGGAAAAAGAAAGTCGAATAATCAGAGCAAGGACAAATATAACTGGCAGAATAAATGCCAAGCCCAAGAGTTCGCATCGGTAGGTTAAGTGGAGGTATTACACTATGTCCTAAGTGTAATAAGTCTTATAGGGGTGAATGCTTATTTAGGAAGAACATATGTTTTTGATGTGGTAAGCCTGGGCATATCACTTTGCACTGTACAGAGCCTTCGCGAAAGAAGGATGATGATCAGAACAAGAACAAGAAAGGGAAGGCTCGAGTTTTTGCATTAAATCAGCATGAGGCAGAGCAAGATCCAAATGTGATAGCAGGTATTTTATTATTATTTGAAGTACTTGTTTATGTTCTTGATTTTGCATTCCCAATCATTATGTCTAACATCATAATTACAAAAATAGGTATTTTGTTATTATCTAATGTATCTGTTAATGTACTTTTTGACTCTGAGGCTACAAATTCTTTTATCTCTACATCATTCATCACTAAGTATGACATTGCATGTGTGAAAATGGATAATGCATTAGAGGTTAGCATCCATTCAGGGAGAACTCTTTGTTCAAATCAGATGACTAGAACTATGAAGTCAGAGATTGATGGAAATATACTACCGGCGGACTTATACCTTTTGGAGATGGAAGATTTTGATGTTATTTTAGACATGGACTGGTTGGGATCAATCATGCAACCATTCGATGTCATGAGAAGGAAGTGTTATTTCATAGACCGGGAGAGGAAGGGTTTCGTTTCTTTGGAGCAAAGTCCAAGTCTCTACCTCACCTTATGTCAGCTGTACAAGCGGAGATGGTGTTGAGAAGGGAGTATCAAGGATTCTTAGTTAATATCAACGGTTCCAAACATACAGAAACAACCGTTAAATATATTAACATTGTGTGAGATTTTGCAGACGTATTTCCAGAAGACCTACCCAACATTTCACGAGATAGGCAAGTGGAATCTACAATTGACTTAGTTCCTAGCACGGTACCAATATTTAAGGCTCCGTATAGAATGGCATCGAAAGAACTCCAAGAATTGAAGTTACAATTGAAGGAGTTGCTGGAAAAAGGTTTCATTCGACTGAGTGTATCTTCTTGGGCGCTCTAGTACTTTTTGTAAAGAAAAAGAATGGGAGTATGAGGATATGCATTGACTATCGAGAATTGAATCATTTTACTATCTAAAATAGATACCCCTACCAAGAATAGAAGAATTATTCAACCAGTTAAGAGGTGCAACGGTGTTTTCGAACATTGACTTGAGGTCGAGGTATCATCAGCTAATGATTAAGGCAGGCGATACACTAAAAACTGCTTTCAGGACTCGTTATGGGCATTATGAGTTCACTGTCATGCCTTTCAATTTGACCAATGCTCCAATGATATTTATGGACCTGATGAACTATGTGTTTTATTAGTATTTGGACCAGTTCGTCATAGTATTTATTGATGATATACTTGTGTACTCCAAAGATAGGAAATAGTATGAGGAACTACTCCGAGTAATATTTGATACTTTGAGGAAGGAAAAATTATATGCTAAATTCAAGAAGTATGAATTTTGGCTCGATCACGTAAGTTTTCTTGGTCATGTGGTTACTGCTCAAGGAATTGAAGTAGACTTAGTTAAAGTGAAAGTAGTAACTAATTGGCCTAGTCCGTCTAGTGCAAGTGAAGTTCGCATTTTCTTATGGTTGGCTAGCTATTATTGATGATTTACTGAGGGTTTATCAAAAATAGCAGGTCCAATGACTCAACTGACTCGAAAGGGGGTGAAATTTTAGTAGATGAAAAAATGTGAGGAGTGTTTTCTGGAACTTAAATAGAGATTACTCTCGGCTCCTATTTTAACTATACCTGAAGGTTCTGATGGGTTTGTAATTTATAGGGATGCTTTCAAACACGGCTTAGGTTGTGTTTTGATGCAACATGGGAATGTGATTGCTTATGCCTCGAGATAGTTGAAATAGTACGAGCAGAATTATCCGACTCATGACTTGGAACTAGTAGCAGTAGTTTATGCCCTAAAAATATGGTGTCATTATCTCTATGGTAGGAGATGTGAAATCTGCATAGACCACAAGAGCCTTAAATATTTCTTCACATAGAAGGAACTAAATATGAGACAGAGAAGATGGTTGGAATTAGTGAAAGATTATGACTGTACAATTCATTACCATCTGGGTAAGGCTAACGTAATTCCAGATGCCTTAAGTAGGAAGATAGGATCGCAGTTAACAGTCTTACCCACAATTCAGGAGCACTTGATAAGAGATTGGAAGTCATCACACCGTTGACTCAGACTACAACGAGAATAAGAGCGTTTATGATTCGACCTACTCTTTGAGATCGAATCAAGAAAGCATAGGATAAGTATTCATTTCTACAGAAGATAAAAGTTGAGATTGGTACAAATAAACGTATAGGATTTGAGGTATATGCAGATAATGCGTTGACTTTAAAAGAAAAGTTGTGTGTACCTAAAGATGAAAGTATAAGAAATGAGATATTGGAAGAGACTCATGTTACCCCTATACTGCACATTCAGGCAGTACAAAAATGTATCGAGATCTCCGAGATACCTTTTGGTGGAGGAACATAAAGAGAGAAATTGTGCTATTTGTGGAGAAATGTATCGTTTGTCAACAAATTAAGGCAGAACATTAAAGGCTATCAGGATTGCTGAACTCGTTGGATATTCCAGAATGGAAATGGGAACACATAGTGATGGATTTTGTGGTAGGTTTTCCAAGGTCAATAGGGGTCACAAGGCTATTTGGATAGTGGTTGATCGTTTGACGAAGTTAGCTCATATCCTGCAAATCAAAGTAAATTTTAGTATGGAATAGCTCGCATAGCTATATATGAGAGAGATAGTCAGACTGCATGGAGTTTCTATCATCGTTGTTTCAAATAGAGACTTGAGATTCGTATAAAAATTTTAGAAAAGTTTACAGGCAGCCATAGGAACGAAATTGAAGTTTAGTACTACTTATCATCCACAGACAGATGGACAATAAAAAAGAACCATTCAAACTTTTGAAGATAATTGAGAGCATGTGTTTTGGAACTGGGCGAAAGTTGGGAGACACACCTGCCATTAGTGGACTTTACATACAACAATAGTTTTCGAGCCACTATAGGTATGGCCCCATATGAAGCTCTTTATGGTAGAAAGTGCAAATCTCCTATCCATTGGGACGAGGTCGGGGAGAAGAGAATTTTGGGTCCTGAAATATTGAACGAATAGTTGAGACGGTTGATAAGATTAGAGCAAGAATAAAGGCAACACAAGATCGATAGAAAAGTTATGCCGATGGTAGGAGAAAAGATTTAGAATTTCAAATGGGTGACAAAGTTTTTCTAAAGGTAACACCAATGAAGGGTGTGCTCAGGTTTGGAAAGAAAGGGAAGCTTAGGCCACGTTTCATCAGACCTTTTGAAATTATCGAAAGGATTGACAGTGTGGCTTACCGACCTGCCTTACCACCTAAATTGGCAGCAGATAACGTGTTTCATATTTTCATGATGAGAAAATATGTTCATGATTCTAATCACGTGGTAAATTACCAAACTTTAGAGGTACAAAAATACCTGTCATACGAAGAAACTCCAACGACGATTTTGGACAGAAAAGTGCATGAACTTAGGAACTGAGAAGTTCCACTGGTCAAGATGCTATGGCATAATCATGGATTAGACGAGTCAACATGGGAGAAGGAAGATGAGCTTAAAATCAAATATCCAAAACTCTTCGATTAGTTAAGGTAATTTTTGAGGACGGAATATTTAAGGTGGGGAGATTGTAACGCCCAAAAAAAAATTAGAATAAAAAAATATATTTTTATATTTAAAAAATTAAGGACTAAATGAAATATGTTTTAAATTCATAATTATATATGAGTTAAATAATTAAATTTCAAAAGAACAAGTATAAGTATATCAATATTGGGCTCATTGGATATCTTGTAATTATTATATATATTAGTCCTGAGAAAAAGGCTATTCGGATAATTTAGACTCTAGATATTGAAGTTTATAGACCTTGTCACTTATTAGTAATTGTTTATATTGCTTGGTGCTCCATCAATTTCTCGCTCCTCTACTAGCTATTATGGGCTAGCCATGGAGCTCTTGGCTCCTGTAAATATGTCCAGAAGGGACATTTTTTCATTCTTTTATTCTTTGGATTCAATCTCTTCCTTTTTTTCTTTTCCTCCTTTTTTGACTCCAAACTATATACATCCCCCCTTCACTATAGACAGTGTGAGCACCTTCATGCTTATTTGGATCCAGTTTTTAACCGGGAGGGAGTTATTTCATGATATTCTAACTGGGACCAATGCCAAGGTGGGGGTAGAAATTTATGCTCCCCAATTTTTTGCTCGCCAGCTTGGCTTCGGCCAAACTTGGCCTGTTCCTCCTTGCTATTCAAGGAACTTAATTGACCGTTTTCATACTATTAATAAGGCGGAGGTAGAGGCTATAAATGCTCGCAATCTTCTTTTAACCAGCCATTTTTCATTAGCCCCCTTCAATTCTAGCCATGCCATTCACCCTCTTTTTGAATAGCTCTGGCCGTCAGTGAAGCGCAGATTATTTGCGACTGACGCCAATTGTGCCTTTCATTCACTAGACCAGCCGAGCATTTCTTCCCCCCCTCCTGTTTTAGTCACTCCTTTGTCCGTTCGGAGTCCTTCTCCTTCTCGTCGCACTAAACAGTCGCTCGTCCATCTTCTTCTCTCCCTGCCAAGCCTACTACAGCCAAGAGTGCCCCAAGCCGCAAATGGCTAGCCTCAGCATCTCCCATTTTGGAGGATGATGTTGATGATGATGATGATACCCCTCTTATCGTCAGGAGGAAGGTAATTAAATTGGTTTACTCACAAGCATACTTTTTCATACTTGAAACTTTTCTGTGTGCTGATGATTTTTTAGACTTCTCAGAAAAGTTCAGCCTCCTTCAAAGGCTTTGGCATCGACAGCTCCTGCTCCATCATCCTCTGCTGAGGCTGCTTCATCCAAACCGGTTGATGAGGGGACTATGCTTAAAGAGACATCTTCAGTCCCAGAATCCTCATCACAACCCATGGATGAGCCACCTTCTTCCCAGGGCGTCAACCCCCCAAACATCGAAGTAGAAAGTAATTCAGTTTTTTTTTTATGCCTTACCTTTGCTTGTGCTATTGGTTTCTGATTTGTTGCTCTTGATTTTTTGCAGATACTCCTATGAGTTTGCTCGTTGTGGCAACATCTTCTCGCTCAGACAAGGGGAAGTCCTCACGAATGGAGGAGTCATTGGTGGCAGACTTGGCTGAGGACATGCCATCTTCCACTATTGTTGATGAGGTAGTCTTTGCTTCACTTTTATTTCTATCTTGTTCGTTGTAGTGAGAATCTTTAATATTGGCAATTTTCTTTGCAGGACGCTGACAAGATAGTGCGCTCTATCCAAGACTTGTTCGCTTCCTGGGGGCAAGTCAAGACGTCTCGCCCTGCTCTATCTGATCATCCTGCTGCTTCTTCAGAGGAAGATTTGGAGTTCCTCAAGCAGTCGATATTTGAGTACGTGTCCTTCATGGATATGGACATTGGTAGGGCTAGTGCTGCCAGACACAAGGATAAACTTGAGCATTTGAATGCGAAGTTGGAGCAAGCACTGACGCTTCCGTCGCTCAATCTTTCTGTCGATTTTAAAGCGACGTTGAAGGTCATCCACTCCGAGATCCTTTCTTTACTGGCCAAGAATGCTGAACTAAAGGCCAAAAGTACTCAATATCTTCGAGCCGTATCTGAGAAAGAATCTTTGCGTATGGAGATCAACAAGGCTGAGGACGAGTTGAAAGAAATCTCTTCCGAAGTCATGGTTGAAGACTCTTTGATGGTTAATTTGGCTGCTCAGATGAAGGAACTTCAAGCCAAAATGGACGACTGCAAGGCGAGAATGGCTGCTAAAAAGCGCAACGCCTCCCAGGGAATTGAGCGAGCTAAGTCCTTGGTTGAGCAGTACAAGAAGTTGGAAGTTGATGATGATGTTGTGGCCGAATTGAACATCACTTCCTCTCAGCAGAACGAGAATTGGGAAAAACTTAGGGAACGAATTCGTTCAGTATGGGGTGGACTGTAATTAAGACATATGATGCCTTTTTTCTTTTATAATTTGATTTTCCCTTTGTAATTTTGTTCATCATTAATGAACATTAACTTCTTGTGCATTTATTTGATATTTATTTTTTAGTTGTCAATTTTTCAAGCATTTAACTGCTTCGTGCTAAAAATCTTGCCCATTTGCTTTTGATATTTCCACCACTTCTCCTAAGACTTTGGGCTATTTAATTCCATTTACTAGGCAGAAATGTGGCTGTTCATATTCTGTCTCTTCATCTCCACCTCCCTATAAATGCATGGATGCTTCGCATTTTCCATCCTCCATCTTCATCTTCATTTTCTTCTTCGAAACCAATTTGCTGCCATTGTTTGGCACTCTGACAATCAATCTGATCCGAAACCTTCGCCTTTCTAAAAAAATGGATTGTTTAGTCCGTCCATTTTACTATTTGCTTTGATGTCACCTTTGGTGTGGGAGGTATAGGAAATATTTTTCGGCCAGCAGCAAAGTTTTTACCATTGAAGTCCTTCCCATCATCTCTTTGCCCTTTACAAGGAGTCGATGATAGAAGGCAATTTTTGGGATGCTTACGGGCCATATTGCTTGCTGAGAGTGCTTCTCAATTTGCTTGCTGAGAGTACTTCTCAGCCTCTTTGCCCGCCATTGCAGCGATGCATTTAGGAAGGTGGTGAGGCCAGTCCACCCTCTTACTCGGCGATCCCACCATTGCAGCGATGCATTTAGGAAGGCGGCGTGAGGCTAGTCCACCCTCTTACTCAGCGATCAACCGGGAGATTAGCTTACTTTTGATTGTAGTTTGTAGAGCATCCATTATTTGTATTTTCGCATCTTTGTAATGAACGTTTGATAATAAAGGACTTTATTTGAACGTATTTCACTCTGACCTTGTTATCCTTTAATCGTTCAACATATTTTGATTATGCTCTTACCTGTTCATATTCTCATAAAGAAGGAACATATTTTTTCAAATATTTGCCGTTAATGAATCTCACGTGCTTGGTGCCATCTAAATCTTCCAAGTGATACGCTCCATTGGGCAACACACTGTTTATTTTGTATGGTCCTTCCCAATTGGGCGACCACTTCCCGTAATTTGGATCCTTGCTATCCAAAGGGAGTATCGTCTTCCAAACTAGTTCACCCAGGCTGAACGACTTGACTATGACTTTTTTATTATAAAACTTAGCCATTCTTTGTTTTTGAACTTGCAATTTATCTAAGACGTCCAACTTTAATTCGTCTAGCCCCAATAAATTTTGAACTAGTGATTCGGCATAATCATCATCATTCAACTTATGTTGCAAGCACACTCTAATCGATTGCACGTTGATTTCCATAGGCAAAACGACCTCCTGTCCATAAACAAGTTGGAAAGGAGTAACTTTGGTACTTGACCGAGGTGATGTTCTATAAGCCCATAAGGCCTTGTTCAGACATTCGTGCCAATTTCTGGCATTTTCATCTATCATCTTTCTGATGATATTTTTTAAAATCTTATTAGAAGATTCCGCTTGTCCGTTGGATTGAGCGTAGTATGGTGTGGAGTTTACTAATTTAACCCCAAACTCGCTCAAAAATTTGTTCACTTGATCTCCATTCAAAAATGTTCCGCGATCTACCATTAAAGTTTGTGGAATTCCAAACCTATAAATAATGTGATCACGGATAAACTCTATAACATTCTTCTGGGTGATCTCTTTCAAAGGTACCGCCTCTACCTATTTGGTGAAATAGTCGGTTGCAACTATAACAAAAGTATGTTGCTTGGACGATGGGGGATAAATCTTCCCTATCAGGTCTATCGTCCAACCCTTGAACGGCCAAGGTTTAATAATAGGTGCCATCTCTCATGCTGGCGCCCTTTGTATTAGACCATGTTTTTGGCAAGCTAAACAACTCTTTGCATACTGAACGCAGAATTCTCCCATCTTTGGCCAAAAAATCCACTCCTAATAATTAACCATTTCATCCTTTGGCCAGCTTGATGAGCTCCACATATCCCTTCGTGCACCTCAGCCATGATCGTCTTGGCTTCTTACAAACTTACACACTTTAGTAATACACCATTAGAGCGTTTCTTATACAACTCTTCATCTATTAGTGTATAGTTCAGCAAACACAGCTTCATTTTCCTACTAATCCCTCTATTAGGTTCTTTAAGGAACCCTTTAATCTCTGTTCTCCAATCTATTGCATCTCCATCTTGTATGTAGTGAAGTTCAATCTTTCTCGCCCTTCTTTGAGTCACGGGCAATATGATTCCATACTCACAAGTAGACTTCCAATTCAAAACCTTTGAGTACCTGAGGCCATTTGGGCTAACTCATTTGCCACGTCGTTATAGATGAAAGAAAATAGGACTAGGCGCTTACTTTCATAACAACAATAAATAGAATAGTATTCAGAAATTGAGCAAATAACTAATTACAGTCGATATAGTTCAACGGATGGAAGTAAAGAAGTCTCCTTGACCTTTTTAATCAAAAGGTCTGTTTCTTCTTCCCTGATGGAACGAAAAGATTGGACCCTCTTATTACTTAAAAGCTGGAGAACACAAATGCTTTTCATCTGCCTCCAGTATTCACCATAAGGCGCGACAGAAACATCTTTCCCGTCATACATTAATTGCCTGGTAACACTTGAGTCAGGTTTCTTGGCAAAGATTAGATCCCGAGTTTTCATTATCTCTTTCGCTGCATAGGCTGATGAGACAATGACCGTTGGCTTATTACCAAAGTGAAGCAGCATCATAGGACCATATGTTTGTAAGTGTTATGCCCTAGATCCAATCGATTTAGGTTGTAAACGCTTTTAATATATTTAATGCATTTGATTTTGGCGAGATCTATTATTAATTTTGTAATAAATAATATTAAATAATAGAATCCGAAGATCCAATTTTTAGGTAATCTGTTAATCACAAGGAGTTGTGATTGTGAGATACAAATTACATATAATTGGATCTTGAATAAACCATGGTCATAAGTAATAACGAGATACGGATATCGTTAATACAGTTAGACCATCACGTGTGACATTTCTTACTTGTGAAGTAAGTAGCTGATCTCACGAGCTAAAGTGTGGTGACACTTAAATGAACACGTGGATGTTTTGTTATAGAACAAAACATTGGAGACCCGCTAAGAGATTCCACATGGATAACTATCTGAGTGTCAGTGGCTAATCTCTATCGTTCGGTAGTGGAATTGGTCCTTTGACTTGAGGTTGTCATGGTACCTTATATGAGGACAGACATACTTTGGCGGTGTTGGATGTTGCTCTGAAAGGGGCCGCTAATACGACATCGTTCGGGTACGTCAAGAATCGTATGAAGGTTGTGATTGATTAATAAAGGATTCGTCACTCCTAGATAGTAGGAGATTATGATCTGCGTTTCATTTAATTAAGTCGATAATGAAATCCTTGGCCAAGGTGTACTCATAAGTCAAAAAGGAGTTTTCGATTTATATTGACTTAATAGTGGAGTGAAAGATATGATCAATGATCAAGATTGACACAATTCCATATCTCGTAATTGATCGGATCGTATTGACGAATGGATAATAGTTTCACGGTAAACGAACGAATTTGGTTTTGTCATACCACGTGACATTTCCCGTCACATGTATTGCCCTTACACATTGCTAGATGTCAATCAGGGACGGCGAGTGTGAATTGACGATAAATTAAAAGGGTGTATTGATTTATCAATTTTGATTAGATCAAAATAATATTTCACGACGTTAGGCATCGTGGTCGGGAACCTAATGGGTCGCACACAAAAGAGAATTGGAAGATTGCAAATTGTCAATTGGTTAATTTAACAATCGTTGGATAAATTAATTAATTGAATTTGTTATTTATAATCCCGAATTAATTAATTGGATTAATTAATTAACGGATCGGGTTTAATTAATTGGATTAATTAAATATTGGACCGGACCGGACCGGACCGGGCGGGGTCCGTTTGGGTTTATATATATACACAGCTAGGGTTTGAGGTCCGTTATGTTTTCATTATTCTTGCTGGCACAAGAGAGAAACCATAGCCGTTGCAGTCTATTCTCTGTGTGAATTACATTAGAGGCTGGACAATTGGACAGCTGTGGGAGACAGATTCAAGCTGCTAGAAAGGAATAACGCGAAAGAGTTTGCAAATCACAAGTAAAGGTATATTTCTTATCACAATTTTTATCTAAATACAAAGCTGAATCCTGAATGGGAATTGAAACTTGTTAAATTCCCCTGTGCATGTTTAAGTAAATTCCCAACAATGTTTTTGCCAAGGATTGGAGGGATCTGTGAGTCAACGCACTCAGTTGGTGGAGATTGCCTAAGACTGGCAGTTTTGGAGGTGATGGTGGAAGATTTTTGTTACCAGTGGGCATGTACAAAAAATTGAGGAGAAACCAGACAAAGAACAAAGTGATAATAAAGTATAGAAATGGAAGAAATTCATCAATTTCTTGATGAAAGCTAAACATGTTTGAGCAAAGGATTTTCTGTCTCAATGAATGTAACGGACTCACCAGTCAAGATGATAGGTTATAGAGCTTAGGCCCCGTTTGGGAGCGATTTTGAGAATTGATATTTTGATCGTTAGGAGAAAAGTGGAAGTCATCTGTGAGAGAAGAAGTCAAACTTTATGGATGAAATAGTGAAATAACGGTCAAAAAATCAATTTTTTGAAGTGAAAAATCACTTCCAAACACCCTCTTAGTTAGGAAGAGGAAACAAATCTTATTCCAAATAAATATTGGACTGCCATGCGATTAAATAAATTCGATGTAGTTGCATTTTGAATAAAGAAAAATAGATAACTTGACATTATTTTTGGAAGGATCACCTTTATGCGAAAGTCAACACATGGAAAGAGTGATTATTTCATAACCAGATCTGTTTTCAATTAACAAATGGATTTTGCTGTATTTTTCTTTTGTGGGTGTCCGATGTCTCCATTGCTAGTTTACTATATCAATTAAGAAATCAAAATTGCTATATATGTCAACATCAAATAGCATATTGACATATTATGGAACTAAATTTCCAAGGCGGATTAAGACATTTTATATTGTAGGGTAATAAATTAAGGCTTTGTTTGTTTACCATTTTTTCACATTTTACTAAATTATTTTTTCTACAATACTCATTTTCAATCACATATTCTTCATTAAAATAATATTACACGTAAATAAAAAATTTTTTCTTCTTTTTTAACTACACATTTTAACATCAATCACTATTTTATAACACATTACTCACAAATAATGGGGCACAAACAAGCACTAAAATATAATATAAAAAATATATATATATAATATTAACGAAAATAAGTTTATACACACACTGCAATTGTAGCCTACGTGTTTTCATAATTTGAAAACTTCGTTTAATTAATCATTATCAATATTATCGAATACATCATTCTCATTATATGCTACCAATCTACCACATAGCCATTAATCTCTCATCTAATCATGTTGACGATTCAAGACAATCGTCATTGCAAAAATTCTCTATACCGTAAAAGCAACAACTAGAAGATACTTTCTAGTCAAACTCTCAAGAAATTCGATCTTTTTCTCAATCTCTATTTGTCAAGATTTAACATTTTCGCCAGCAATCATTTTCTAGCCTTTTTTTTTTTTAAGCAAATACCACTAGTGTGGTTTATTTTATATAATGAAAAGCGGGAAAACAAATAGAGGAGGGGGGCATGGACCTGACCTCCAGCAAATGTAAATTTTAACAAATATTTGAAGATAAAATGCAATCACAGTAAACAAGACACGAACAAAAACTATGATCCGGAAATGTTTCAAACCAGACGCATGACTCGATCAATGTCTATGTACTACCACCCGAAGATTTTCCAGCTTTAATTCACTGGCTTTAACCAAAAAATTTCAAAAACCCCCCAAAATATATTAACAGCATAAAAAATTGAAATTAAAAAAGAAAAGAAAGAGGAAAGTTTACATAACATAGCCGAAAGAATCAATCTACAAGCATAAGTCAATTGATGAAAAAAGAAGAAGAAGACGAAAGGAAATATAAAAATCGAACCTTTGGAATCGTGAAATAGAGATGAGAAACAGATTCTAATGAAAAATAGAGGAAAAGTAAAGGGAAAAAAATCAAAGATAAACATTAGAAATTTTTAATTTCAAACATAAAATTCCATACATGATTGAAGAATAGAGAATAGAATTGGATATTGTAGAAGGAGAGTTTATTTGTGTTGAAGAATAGAGAGATTGAAATTGGAGATTGAGTGTTTATTTGAGATTGGAGGAGGGTTTTTCTTGTTTATTGAATAATAAAGTAAACTGACTGTAAACGTGAATAGTCGTAAAGGATAAAGGACTACTACTAAAAAAATCAAAAAATTAAAAATTAAAATTTTTTATGGATCACTTGACCCCACATGACCACATGTGGGTCTGCGCATGCTTAATTTGAACAATGAACATTGATTTACTTAACATATTGCAAGATGTTAAACACTATATTTTCTTTTATTTTTTTTCTTCTTATTTTTATAATTAGCATTTATAATTTTGATTTAGATGAGAGCATTTGTTTTTCTTAAGACTACGATTTTGAAGGGGGATCCCCGATCATCATATAAAAGAAACACAAACGAATACTAGGGAGGGGGTAAAAACCTCACCTCCAATCAAAAGCATAAAAGACAAAAGCGATTAATAAAGAGGTACTACCTTTTGCCCAAACGTGAAGATGCAAAAATAAAGCCTAAATATATGTGAAAATGGGAAGGTCATATCTCTTAATTTGTATAAAGGCATAAAGTTGTCAAGGCAAGTCGACATGCCCATACTCCTTATAGTAGCGTCAATCCCACTCCTTTGAAGCAAGTGAGTCAGCAACTTGGTTTCCCTCACAGTAGATGGGAATAATATTATCAAGATTGAAGTAAAGTAGATATCTCATATATCTACTATTAGTCTAGATAGACCACGATTCTCCACCATAGGTGATGAATAAGTGACTAAAGTAGAGTCCACATCTATTCACAAGTCCGAAAGTCTAAGCTACATCATATGAAGAATCCCATTAAGAATGGATCATGGGTTAGACTCAAGTATAGGACTATAGACATAAGATGAGGAAAATGCATGGATACAATAGCTAGATTGATTCAAATGATACCCCTACTACTAGAAATGTAGCCCTTGATGTGCCTATTGATGTTGATCTTGTAAGATCTCATGGATGGAGTATTCCAGGAAACTAAATTATGAGGGAAATGCATGGGATGAGTGAGAGGAATACAAAAAATAGAGATGATATTCAAGTCTTCTTATCAGTGCTCAAACCTAAATAAATGACATAATGTAATAGGCCTGCTAAATGATCCTCCAAGGCTCCATCGCAATCCCATTGTACTTCACATCATCATTCGTACTCCATAAAAACCAAAGAATCAACAGAGAAACGACAGTACGAAGATGATACTAAACAAACTTTTTTGAAAATTGCTAACTTTGAAAATGATACTAAAATCCTTCGTTGTATCGAAAGGACTTAGGATAGATGTTAGAAATGGCACCATATTTGGTATGAAATACCATTGCCTATGAATAAGTGTGAAATAGTCTCAATCTCTGAGAAATACTAACATCGAGAGGCAAAATAGAACCCTAATTGCCGCGGATCAAAACATCAACTGGAAGAAAGCCTTGCTCAATGACCTAAACAATCTTTCTAGGAATAATGAAGCTCTGGATCATGCAAAAGATATCTTGAGGTGAGAAGCTTGAGCTAAAAAGTTACTAGGTAGATTTGGTAGAAAATTTACCATCCAATGTATCCTTTCATAGGATATGATCAAGAACATCAAAGTAAATTGGCAGGCTCTTAATCTACTAGGCCATACAAGTGGAAAAACCTATAATAGGCGATCAATGTCTTAGCCATCACCATAAAAGAAACTAATGTTTGTATGAAAAAAGGTTACACAAGTAAAATTTCTCCGTCTAAAAAAATATATGACTAGGACCTAGCTACAATGCTATGTCTATATCGATGGAGTAATCAGCTTTAATTTTCACCAAACTGGTAAAGTGGAATATGAAATAGATGATAACATGGGGTGATTGCTTAGACAATATTTACCTAGCAAGCGACATGACTAATACTCAGAAAATTGATAATAGCAGGACTTTGAAAAAATTCAAATAGTAATAATGAATGCCAAGGAACCAAATAAAGGGTTCTACTGAGAAAAAAATATGGCTACAGAGAAACACTTTGATACCATGTCAACTTTGGCAGAATACTGCTCATTGAGAAAGCTTATTTCATTAAAAGAAAAGAGCCTCGAATTTGTGCTTGATTAAATATATAATAACTATATTATTTATCTATGTAAGACATCTAAATAAATCTATACAAGGAAACTAAATAAACCTAATGTACAACTATTACAGGAACAAATAGAAATAATATATCATAGATAGTATACAACATAACTGCCTAGATGCTTACTGTAATGACATCCTTCTCAAATTGAGAATGGTGGATCCAAAAGCATCAATTTGGCAACAAGATGATGTTGTTGAGTTAACATTTTGACGAATATATCGACAATCTGTAAACCAGTGGAGACATGTGGAAAAGAGATGAGCCGAATATCTACAGCTTCTCTAATACAATAACAATCCACTTCAATATTCTTGGTACATTCATGATAAAGAGGGTCCATAGTAATCTGAATGGAGATTGTGTTATTAGTATGAAGTGGAGTAGAACTCGACTAAAGAAAACCAAGCTCAACAAATAATCCTCAAAGCCAAGTAATTTCAGAACAAGCAGCAGTCAAGATTTTGAAATACGGTCTTGTTTCTTACTCTTTCAAGAAAGCAAATAAGTTCCAAGAAACATACACCAACCTGTAACATAGCAACGAGTATTAGGATAACTTACCTAATTAGCATCAATGAAACCAATAAGGTAGATAGGAAAACCAACTAGAAATAGTAGATAATGACTGGGAGAACCTTGAAGATAGCAAATAATATGCCACAAAATAGCTAAGTGTAGGTGGCATGGAGCTTGCAAAAACTAACTAATGTATTGAACAAAAAGAGAAATTTATGGTTGAGTGATGGTCGAGTAGTTTAAGCTGCCAACTAGTTGATGAAAAATAGTAGGATCAGAAATGAGATCTCTATTTCCTCTATGTTACTTAACATTCACTTTTAGAGGGATATCAACTAGTGAGGAATCCTGAAGTCAGGCTAAAGTAATTAAATTTCGTGTATACTTATGTTGATGTAAAAAATTGCAAGAAAGATCACTACGAATTTCCAAACCCAAGAAGTAGGTTAGTTGGCCTAGATCCTTCATATGAAAAGAGTAGTGAAGATGCTGCTGAAGTTGAGTAATTAGTAAAAGATTCATCCACATGATAATAATATCATCAAACATATACCAAAAAAGGACAACACCTTTAGAAGTTTTGCGAAAAAAACAAATAGTAGTCATATTGACTCTGTACAGAGGTAAAGTAGAGCAAGGTAGATCAAAACTTCTCAAACAATACACAGGGGGCCTCTTTCAAGTCATACAATGATCACTTCAATCTATATACATCAGACGTAGAAGGGAAAAAAATCCAGAAGGTGGGATTATATAAATGTCCTCCTTGAGATCACCATGAATTTTTTTATTTTTTCTTTGACATCCATCTAGTGAAATGGCCAACCCTATGAAGTAGAAATTGAAATAAGGGTACGTACAATAGTCATTTTTGCCATGGGGAAATGTCTTCTCATAGTCCACCCCATAGTACTGTCGATTCCATAGGGCAACCACCAGTCTTGTAAAAATATACATTCAGAATGAAGTTTAACTGAGTAAACCAATTTAAAAGCAATATGCTTAGCTGTAGATAGACATAAGACAAGATCCCATGTTTGATTTTCCTAAAGAGCTCAAAGTTCTTCTCGTATTTGCTATCGACGCTCATGTTTAATAGCCTGTGAGTAATAAGACGGAATCGTAATAGAAGACAACATAATGAGAAATGATGTATAAAAATCATACCATGTAGAAGGATGTGAGATACGAGTGGATCTTTTGTGTACAGTCAAAGTAGTATCGAATATCGGAAGAGTATTAGGTGTTAAAGTAGGATCATATGTGGATTTGGATGGGGAAAGAGTGGCAATTGATGATGTCCAGTAGACACAAATCCATGTTGAATCATTTGGGAGATGAAGGTATATAATCAAAATGATGAAGAATATAACCTGCAAGTAAAAACTTAACAAAAATTGGAATGAAAAATTGATTTTCAAGGAAAACGACATTTCAAAAAATGCAAAGTCTGTTAGAAGTTATCAACAATTACTATAACTCATAAAAACACATTTAATAGATTGAGCAGAAAGTTTGTGATGCTCATGAGCAAGCAGATGGACTAAACAAACACGACCAAAGTTATGCAAATTATGATAGGCAGGATACTAGTTATACAAGGGAAAATAGAGTCTAGATTTAATGCCTAAGAACACAGTCTATTAATGAGATAGACTGCCATAGATAATGTCTCCAACCAAAATCTAGGTAGAATAGAAAACTCAAGTAGTAATATACGAACAACATCCAAGAGAGGTCTATTTTTTTGTTCAGTCACCCCCATTTTGTGTGGTGCATACGGACTAGAATACTGGGAGATAATGCCTTTTGAAGCAAAAAATCTTGAAAAATATGATAATATATTCCCCCAAAATTAGATCACAACGCCTTGATAATAGCAGAAAATTGAGTCTTATGTATGTTAGAGTGGTCTAAAAACCATAAAGTACTTTGAACTTAGAATGAAGAAAATAAATCCCAGTAAATCTGCTATAATCATCAATAAATGTCACAAAATATTTATAATGTGCATGAAAAAGAACACGAGTAATCCCCCTAATATCACTATGAACAATATCAAAATATTTTACTACACAATTACCCATAACATGAAAAGAAAGAGTTTTATTCTTTCCTAACTTGTAGAAGAATCCAAGAAAACTGAGTTAGAAGCTGAAAAGTTGTTTTTATGGTCCAATAAACTAGAGTTTAAGAATGAGACAAATACAAAAGAGTGAGGATGAACCAAACATTTATGCCACATGTCACTTTTATTATTAACTGTAGAGAAAGGTAAAGCAATATAATTAAGATTGGAAAAATGTAGAAACAATAGACCAACTTAAAGTCCTTCCATGATGACCATCCCTGACACCTAGTACCACCACATCTAGCTCTGTGAGGTGTTGCGGTTGTTCTCACCTGCACTAGGTGCTCAACCATCATATGCTCAGGGTAAGAAATTATATGTTGCTGTCCTTTTTGGCAAACCAATTGTCTCTTAGGCTCAGCGAAGCTAGAGAAACTCATTTCCTCCAGTCTTACAAGCCACCCAAGACTCCACTAATCAGCGGCTTGTCTCTAAGGAGCCATACATATATCAGAGTGAGCCTATTGTATTATTTACTAAGGACGATGAGGAGCTTCTTTCTGTGCCATACAAGTTTACACTTGTTGGTAAAATTTTCAACCGTAAACATTCCATAATTAAGGTATACGAAAGTTTCATAAAATTCGGATTTTGTGGTGATTACATGATAAGCCTCATAGATGCTATGCACATTTTGATTCATTTGGAGCACAAGGATTTTAGGTTATTCCTCAACCCACTTGGTATATTGATGGATGTCCAATATGAGTTATCAAATGGACACCAAGTTTTAGGCTACAGAATGAGACCTCCATTTTTGCCGTTTGGGTTTCATTTTCTTTGTTTCCCATTCACTTTCGAGTGGAGAGCATTTTGTTTGCCTTAGCCAAGGCTATTGGAGTTTCACTTCACATTGATGAGGCGACATTTAATCTACGATGGCTTAGTAAGGCATGGGTATGCATAAAGGTAAATCTGGACTGTAAGCTATCTGATAGAATTTGGATGGAGAGGGAAAAAAGGTGGATATTGGTAGAGCTTATTAAATGATAAGATACCATATTACTACTTTCGATAGAGGCATTTCGGTCACCTTGATGGACACTGTATGATCGGGTGACGTTCTGCACTATCGCCTGCTACTTCAATAAATCATATCGCACTAATCATTACTACTATATCAGTTCATCCTGCCACTAGGCCTATTGCAATGTTGGCCAAGGACAAGGGTAAAATGAATGAGGTAATTTTTGAGCCTCCAAATAGATAGGTCCCAATTTGAAGAGATCGGAGGATACAACATTTCACTAGCACTTCAGATGTTCAAATTCAATCTACTCATCCACTAGCACCATCTGCAGTTACTATTGTTCCATTTGCCACTACTATTACACATGCTCAAATTCAATTAGTTACTTTAGCCGTGTCCTCCACAGTTAGTACAACACAGCCAGTTACTAGCATAGTTACTTTTCATATCAACTCTGTATTGCATTCTGCGATACTATAGTTACTCAAGCAGTGACATCACTACAGGTTGTCAACCTACATATGCTTCATATATGATTTCTTAGCGGATTTTAGGGTACAAAGACCATAGATACCATATTACTCAGAGGACACAGGTACCAGGGCTACGCATATTCTAGGACCGACTCCAAGTAAGAATATGGCACATGTTACTACTACTTCTCCCATTTGTCAACAAAATATAAAGGTATATTTTACCTTTCTGCATTAAAAGTAGTCCGACACAGAGAGTTCAGCACATATTGAGGTCTATCAATAGGGCCCATTCCATAGGTCTTCTTCCGATGATTCGGTTGGCATGCTTGGAAGGATAGACGATGATGGATTTGTCCCATTTGAATAGAAGAAATACCTACGAGCTTTTGACACCCTAATCTAAATGAGGGTGACTAGGAGTCAATCATGGGACACCTCATCATATTTTTTTATCTTTATGAATGTCTTCATATGGAATGTGAGAAATGTAACTACTTGTAGACATCTGAAGAGACTTATTCAGCATCATCAGGTATATCTTTTAGTCATTTTGGAGGCCTTTTGTTCTTAAGCAGAGGTTTTCATTTATTCGATGTTATTTGCTCTTCCATACTGGAGTTCAGAGAGAGTCGAATAAGATATGAATGTTTTGGAATGTAGAGACTACTGTTACTGTTCTTCATGAAAATCGCAGTTCCTTCACGTTAGAGTTGAAGATCCCAGACTAGCCTGCCCCGTCTATGCCTCCTGTGAAGTTACTATTAGGAGTGATTCCTGGGAGGGTCTTTACCATATCTTCGTTGCTATAGATGATCCTTAGTTAGTTTGGGGAGACTTTAACATTATTGTACAAGAAGGAAAGTGCATTGGCTACTGTACTCGTGATCGAAGTGGTATTGCTTTCTCTGATATGATGTTAGATTGTGGGTCAGAGGACGCTGGTTTCTCGAAGAGTCAGTGTACTTGGACCAATAGGCAAACCAATGGCAGGATCATGGAAAGATTCGATAGAGTTTTAATTAATTCTACAGATGCAGTTTTTTGTTAAAAGCTTAGGGGATGTTTGATAGGCATTTTTATGTAAAAATGCATTTTAGAATAGTAAATTGATGTGAAATGTGGTTGATAAATAAGGAAAAGTTTTTGATTTACGTATAATATTATTTTAATAAAAAATGTGTGGTTGAAAAGAAGAGAGAGAAAAACGCATTTTGAAAAAAATGGCTATCAAATGAGGCCTTACAATATATAGATGGCAAAAATACCTGTCATATTCAATACCTATGGGGCCTGCCCTGAATGGGATGGGTATTACCTGCTTAATCAGGTCGGGTACTAGGCGGCGAATTTCGCTTCGAGGCGGGTATGGGACGGGTGTGGGTAATAGGGGCCCTGTCTCAGCCAGTTTAGTTTTTTTTAACATGATTAGCACTAAAAACTTTAGTTTACAATGATTTGGGGTCGAGACCCTTTATATTCCTTAATGTTTGGACCAAGCATCATGATTTGTCAACCTTCATCCCTTAGAATTGTTCACTCTATACTCATCTTACGGGATGGCTATTCTCTAAGAAAAGTTCTTCAAGTTGAAAAAGGGACTTTGTTGGTGGAATCGACATATATTTGGAGATATATTCCAAAGAGTAAGGGAAGCTAGTGATAAGGTCAACCAGACGTAAGTTGATTATGATAGTGACCGTACAATGGAGCATCGTGATTTATTGTATCATGCATAGGCTTATCTGAACTGAACTTTATCCGTTGAGGAAGGCTTTTCAAAGCAAAATATGGGTTCACATTGGGTGTGACCATGACAGTCGATATTTTAATGCAATGGTTCAAGGACATCGGACAATATTTCGTATCATGATTATTAGGACTCAGGAAGTAAAAGATCTATCTACTTCTACTAACATTCAGAGTTCAGCTATCTCATTTTATCAGGATTCATTATATACTCCTTCATTGCCTCTGGATCCCATCCGCCTAGATATATTTCCCAGGCTACTGACGAATGCAGATAATATGGAATTAAATCAACCTCTTTGATTTATATGATACAGGAAAAATTTTCAATATTTATTCTAACACTACTGCCAGCCTCAATGGATTCTTATATAATTGTCTTCCAATGTTATTGGGATATTGTATAGGATGATGTGTAGAATGGAGTTAATGATTTCTTTGAAGGTGGTCACCTATTTTGTGGTTTCGCCATTATCTCTATTATCTTGTTCCCGAAGAAGGAGAATGTTAGTAGATGAATGGATTTTAGACCTATCAGCCTGTGTGCAGCGTTCAATAAGCTTATCATAGAGCTTTTGAACACTAGATTGAGTTCACTATTACAATACATTAGTTTTCCTCAATAGAGTAGTTTGATCCCTAGTCGCCTTATTGGGGATAAAGTGTTGCTAACTCTGGAGCTTCTTTACACTTTGGGTAATAAAGTGTGATGAGGGAATACTATGTGAAAGCTCGATGTGGCTAAGGTATACTATCACATGGATTGGAGGGTTATAATACTTGAGGCATTTGGATTTGATCGGTTATGATTTGATAGGATCAGGCAGTACATATAGAAGTGTATGTTCTAGGTACTCCTAAATGATTGTCCTGTGATTTTTTCTCATCATCACGCAGTCGTAGACAGGTTGACCCCATCTCACTTTTCTTGTTCATTATCATTGCAAACTATTTCTCACACCTCTTCACTCAGAGGTTCCAGTCCTATCCAGTATGCATTATCGACATGGAGGTAGTACTCTAGTCTCACACCTCTCATTTACTGATGATATGATAACATTGTCAATGATCAGAAATAGTCTATCAATCGGAGGGTCCTCGATTGTTAGAAGCATAACGTTGGGGTCTCTAGCCAATTTGTGAACAGAGATAAGAGCGATCGTATACTACCTAGACGAGCATCAGATATTCAGATCAAGAGACTTGTGTTCTTGAACAAGTTTACGCATCAGCAGCAGCCATTCACTTATTTAGGGGTTTCATTATTTAAGGGGTCCAAGAGAAGCTTTCTGTACGACGACTTCATTCAGAAAGTGAAGAACAAGATTTTGGGCTGGGCATCTCGATTACTTTCCTATGGGGGATGAATTACTTTGTTGAGATCTCTACTATCCTCCATACCACTTTATCTTCTTTAGATTATGCAACCCTAAGACTGTGCTAAAGGAATTGGGGAGCATCTTTGCACAGTTCCTATAGGATTCTAAGGATCAAGAGCATCGTTTATATTAGACAGAGATTCACCTTCCAACTAATGAGGATGGACTAAGCTTTAAGAAATTAGAGAACATGATGGACACTTTCTCCATAAAGCTTTGGTGGTTGTTTTGGTCTTAGAGATCTTTTTAGACCCAGTTCTTATTGTGCAAATATTGCTTGGGAACACATCCATCACTTGTAGCAGTTCTTCGTCAGCCTCTCCTGTCTGGGAAAAGGCTGAAGTTGGTTGAGCTATAAGTTGAGCCACATATTGCATATCATCTTAGAGTCGACTAGATATTCTTCTGGCATGATTGTTGAATGGGAAATACTACTTGGGCCTCCTTATTTCCATAAAGGCAACACTCATCTACAAGGTTGCATGACTTCTTTGATGGCACTGGGTGGGTTTTTGGACAATTATTACACTCTTCTACCTATATGGCAGAGCATATCAGGGTGATTCATTATGTGCAGAGACTCCATTCCTCAGTTTCTTGAGGGACACATCAAATGGTATCTTTGCTACTAAATCAGCATGGTAGCTAGTCTGATTTGGTAGACGGCCTCAGGACTCATTTTGATTACTATGAAGCTCTATTCTTCCTACCACACTCTTATTCTTCTCCAAAGACTTTGGTAAGATTTGATTCTAGTATATGTCATACAGAGGTACATTAGATGTCATTTGGGCTCCCAATGTAAGTGTTATTCCTAGATCAAGACCATTAGGTCACCTTTTCACAGGCAATAACATTTCCACCCGGGCATGACATCATTTCAACGGGTATTTTTCAAGTAGCTATGACATTCGAAGAGAGCGCCAGGCAGAAATTTCAGAGATCATACTATTTAGGATAGTATATAAGGGTGGACATATTCGCATTGTCACTCATCTACTGATTTTCTAGTTTATATAGACTCAGAGGAATGATGTAAGGCATAGGGAAATCTGTATGGTGTCCAGACATATTATCTGAAAAGTTTACTGTATGATCTCTATTATTCTCAAAGGACGAGTACTTGGAGCTTTGCAGTTGCAAGAGGACTCAAGACTTTCAACCCTCTTCGAGATTTCTATGACTCCTTCCAGCATTACCTATTTTGGTTGTGTGGCACACTCCACCAATGTGATCTTATAAGATCAACACAGATGGATGTGTTAAGGATTAAGCTGCGAGTGGTGGAAGCACGGACTATACAGGGCACTGCATTAGGGCTTTTTTCAACATCATATGGCTCATATATGAATTTACAAGTATTCATGCTTCTTATGGTATTTCCACATTGTCTTAGCAGTTTTATAAGCGTGTAAATTAAAAACAATCAAAAGGTCACAAGAACTTGTAATCCAAGACATCACTCTTGCCCTCCGTTGAGCCAATTGTGTAGAGTTAGTAGGAGCAAGAGTAGATCCATCTATATGAGCCCACAACTCCTCTTCAGTAACAAATAATTCAAACTAGAACTCCCAGGTAGAGTGATTTTTTCTAGTGAATTTAATACAAAAGTTGAAGTTGCTGGAAGATGTACCTATGTTTTACTAAGAATCGAAGTGAAATTGGAAACTAACCAAAATCCAAAAGACTTCAGAAGCTAACACAAACTCCTCTGTTGTAGTATACAACCAAACTGGGAGAAGAAATCTGACTATAGGACTTTGACAAAATTTAAACCTTAAAAACCAAAGTAACGGAATCAAATAAAGGTTCTACAGAGAAAAAAATGGTTACAGAGAAAGGCTCTCTTATCAAGTCAACTTTAGCTAAATGCTGCTCATTGAGAGAGCTCTTTTCGTTAAAAAGATAACAGCCCTAAATTTGTGTCTGATAACAACTATACTATCTATCTATTTAAGCCATCTAAATAAATCTTCGCAAGCTATTTTCTCATTATTTATTTTGGACTAATTTATATTTTTTTGAATTTTTTGGGACCATGGTTGTAATTAGTTCCTTGAATTCTTTTCTTTTCCTTTTGCTTTATTGAAATGGGAGGGTATTTTCATCATTCGCAGATTTTTATTGAGAAAATAGATGGGAAGGAATATTCCACACTAAATATTTTTAACATGGATATGGTTATTGCGTTATTTATTTTCAAAAAGTATTCAAAAGTTTTGAGTTTAATTAAAAGATTATTTTATTGGAAGAATGTAGGGTTGAAAATTAGTTTACAAAATGAATTTTTAGAAGATGCCCCAAACATGGGCTAAAGTCTATTCTATTATAACTACAAACAAAAGGGATAGATTAATAAATGAGCAAAACAGACAAACCTAAATTTTATAGACAAGTTAAAACATGGCCTAAAACTTAAAATGTCCAAATTTACCGTTGAAACTATCAAACCTATTAAAAAGACCCAAAAGAACCTCAAAATTAATTTCAGCCAAGGACGAAAATTTCATATCAAAGAGGTTATCTATAACCCATTTCAAAATTAAGAAACAAGTATTAAATTTTCAAAAATCATATATTATTAATTTTATTGATGAAATAATTAATTAAAAATATATTTTATTAATTAAATATATTAAAGTCACAATTTTATACATTTGGTCACAAATATAGAATTAATTAGTCATAAATTATTTCTCTACCACAAATGAAAAATTTTATATGTCACAAATCAAAAATTTCGTCGAAAACAAATCAAAATTTGTATAAGTCACAATTTATTTATTGATCACAAATAATAAATTTTCTAATTCAAGTTATTTCACAGTCACAAATTATTAAATTAATTAGTCACATATTATTATTCAGTCACAAATTATCGAATAAATTGGCCACAATTACATATTTTTAGGTCACTTATTATTTTTTAGTCACAAATTGATCATAATATTCAAATAATTGTTCACAAACTTTCAGTCCTACTCCACCGCCACCTCACCATTCCCGTTGTCGCCACCACAAAGATCTCCACCCCCTTGTCGTCGCCGCCACCGCTATCCCCGTCGTTGCCAACAACACCACAAACATTACCACCACACTATACCACCACTATCGCCACCTCACAACACCAACACAAAATTACATTGTTGACGTTACTGCAAACCACCAATATCATTAGCACTGCCACGTACCACCAATAGCCTGTGCACCACCAATTCCATCAGTAGCATCGCTCGCACACGGCAATGCCTATGAAAGGTGAACAACAGTGCGACAACAACGCTTGAACAAATCGCACCAATATAGAGACAGACGTAGAAGACAAGGAGAGAGAGAGAGAGAGAGAGAGAGAGAGAGAGAGAGAGAGATCCCCATTAGGAAGCAAATCAGATCGCTTATGCACCTGTCATCGATGATGTGCCTGTTGTCTTGTGTGATGATCGCCGGTGCTAGTATACGGTTGGGACGATTGTGAGAGAAAAATGAAATGGCACAAAGATGAACAGGGTTTTGTGGGGGTTGAGCGTAGGTGGGTATGGGTGTTGAATTAAATTAAATTTTATATTATTAAGAAGTTTAAATTATTTGATTTTTGAGCAAAAAAATTTTCAAATCTAATTTTTGAATTGAGAATATAAGAAGCATGGATAGGTGTAATTTCCAAAACCGCAAAATCACTAAGTTGATATTATTCATTCATTCCAGATAGGTGGGAATCAATAACTCTCCTGCCTTGGTTGCAGCTTAGGTGGATATTAAATTAGCTTCAATCTTAACCCTTGTTTGGTGGTGATTAAAATCAGAATTTTAGAGGATTTTGATAAAAGTTGATGAAATGTGTAGTTGAAAAATTGTTAATCCCATGGAATATATAGTTAAAATTAATTGTTGTGTTTGATTAAAAATAAAATTTAGATGTTAATTTCTACTAGGCGTGGACTTAATTAGGATTTGATTAATTAGGTGTAAGTGACAATAGGAATAAAAATGGCGCATATTTCAAAATTTTAAACAAAAAGAGGTACTTATTTAACTATACCTTAATAAAGTAACAATAAGAAGGTCCTAAATTAGTAATTACATAACGAAATTATTGTATATTACTAGAAGTAAAACCCAGAAGAGTCATTTAGGAATCATCAGCTTATTTGATTACCCTATCATTCTCTGTCACTTTTTGTTTCTTCTGATTCTTTTTTGTCTGCATCACTAGCATTTGTTTCTTCTCCTTCCCTTTTCTATCCTGTGTAAAGCCAGGAAAAAGAATAGACAATCTCTAAAACATTTTGAGTTTTGAAAGAAAGTTGGAAATGCTAAGATCAATATAAAAAGTTAACGATATGACAAACTAGCGAATAGTTTAGCTGCCCTGAATCGAGGTTCAAACCGTTTGAAGCATTTATTCAAATTCTAAAGTAAGGTGGGATTAGAGGCCTAAGACTCAAACAACTCTTTTAAACAATGATATTCAGTGTAAACGAACAAAGTCTGAGAACCAAGTACAAAGGAGTATGAGATAAATTTATTCTTTTATCATGACGTTCAGAGAGAATTCTAGAGAGCAAGAGAGAATAGTTGATGACACTCTCAGAAAGCATCAGCAAGAATGGGGCCTTGGGATCACAAGTAGAGGAAACTTTTTGTAGACAGCAGCTCCAGAGGCCTTGATCATGTCCAAATGTTTTTCTATTGTGAAGTTAAATTTATACATCAATTTTGCTAATGCAAGGCCCACAACACCGATTGCAAAATTAAGCCATTTGAAGTCTATTACAGTGTTGCAAAACATTTCTGGTTGAAATTCTTCTGGATTTTCCGACACCGTTGGGTTTCTTGCAATTGCCCAAGCATTGATCATAACTCGTGTTCCAACTCGGCAACTCTGATGTCATACCCCATAAATTTTAGTGTCTTGGGTTGATTCTCGTGGGAGCAGTAATGGAAGTGGAGGATGTAGTCTTAGATTCTCTTTGATCACTGCCTTCATATAGGAGATTTTATCTAAATCTTCCTCTATTATCTCCAATTTGCTTCTGGCTAATTGTCTCACCTCATTCTGCAGTTTCTCCATAGTTTTCGGGTGCTTTAAAAGCTCTGCCACTTCCCACTCTAAGGAAATATATGTTGTACCAGTCCCAGCAGCAAACATGTCCTTTCGAACAAGGAAAAAGATTATATTCTAACCAAATTATTTTCACAGTGTTGCTGAAATCTGAATGAGCAAAATACAGAGGTTCTTAAAAATATTACAGCTTTCATGGTATCAGTTCCAAAAGGGAAACCAGCCTTGTTTTCTCTCTGAATTTCAAGCAATATGTCAACATGATCTGCTTCGCCAGTGCTGTCGTTGCCATCCGCCTTTCTTTTCTTTTTATATCTATGTTCTTCAACTGCACCATCCAAAAATTCATCAAGCGGTTTAGCCAGTTTCTCTACTCTGACATTGAAACCATCGACACGTTTATACCATTTAAGCGACGGAATGTAATCCCCTAGATTAAAAGTGCCTAACAAAGCCTCAACTTCAACATTAAACCAAATTTATTGCTTTCTTCTCCGTCACTATATTCCTCCCCAGGGCCACTCTATACATAAAATCCCTAGTAAGAGACACCAAAAGATTACTCAAAGTTTATCAAAGATGTTGAAGAAGAGCAACTGTCTAATTTTCTCGATCATAGGGGACGTTTCTTCATCTCTTATATGGCTAAAAGATTGGATCCTTTCGTTGCTCAATAGCATAAGTACACATAAAGTTCTCACCTGCCTCCAGTGCTCACCATAAGGAGAAAAAGCTATGTCCTTGCAGCCATAAACAATTTTGTCCATAACGTTTATGTAGGGTCAAGTTCCAGCAAATACCAAGGTAAATCGGGCTCAGTTTTGCCAAATAGATCGACACCACCAACAGGTTGAGACAACGCCCAAAACCACCACCTATATTCCCACCTCCGATCGCTACAATATACTCACGAAGAGTTGGACAAGATGAAGAACAATAATATGCCCACAAGAAACCACAAAGGTCATATGAAAAAGGAGAAGCCGAGAAGCAGTCACAGAGAGAGACGGAACATTCTTCATCGTGGAGGCCGAGAATATAAGCCAAGCAAGTGACCAAAAAAGGTAAGTTAGGTTAGGTTTATTTAGTGGACCAAACAAGGCTTGCCTCAAAATAATGGGCTTCAAATTAATACCATAGCCCTCCAAAAAAATGGGACGAACCGTGAGTAACACTATTAACAATAGGTTGCTTCTAACGTTCCATAGGAATGTGGATTGGGTTGTCTCGATAATTGTATCGACATATAAATCAATCATATGGTCAAGACCAATTGATGATAGATAAAACCAGGGTTACATCATAGCCCGGAGAGTCGTTTGACAACAAATTGCCTAACAGTTTATTTTAGGCATGTTTAAGAAAACCATTTCATGATTTTTCATGATCTCACAAACTGCATCTGCAGAGGAGACAATAAGTGTTGGTATCATGGTGAACCATGGTGTTTGGATAATGCTCGCAATGAGCAATGAGGGCATAAGCCGAGTTGGTGAAAATTTCCAATTAGAGGAAGTTGTGATGGAAAAGGAGGTAACCTTTTTTGAGCTGTTGAAGCAGCATTAAAGTACCATTTGAAAAGGAAGATGAAAAAAATGAAGGAAGCAATAGGAACTATCAAATTTTGAAAAGAAATCATTTTCTTTTGCCGAACAAAGGAAATTTGCAAGATAATCAACTTATGTTCTTCTATTTATAATTTTTTAACCATTGATGCCATATAATAATGTCATGCATTGCAAACAACGTAGATCGTTGGATATAGCTTAAGAAATTAATGCTGGTCACGTCCACACATTTACCTATTGGATGGCTCTTGAATCTTGGCCCATTTAACTCAGTTTTTGATCCAACTAAAGCCTAACCTATATTTATAAATATGGTGTATTGCCCTAGCCATTTTTAGTGTCTAATTTATGCGTGAAAGGAGAAAGAACATGTCTAGAATTGAGGAGAAAAACCCAGTGGCTACCTTTGCATCTTTGGCTCTTTGTGACTTCATCCATTGGTTTTTCTCGTGCCTTAGTAACTGGAAAATCAACACCGATATCTTGTTCTTCGTGGGTTAGATTGAGAACAACCTAGTCGAATATTGGTTGTAGGTCAGAGCCGTTTGAATTGGTTGTTTGATAGAGAAAGGTAACCTGAAATCGAGCCTGAAAATCATAATTTTGAAGATTTTGGAGCGAACTTCCGCAACAATTTAATATTGTAGAAAGTAATTAAATAAATAAGTATCCCCTTTATAACGCCAAAAACTTTTAGACTAATAGATTAACATGATATTGGAGCACACAAATATCTTGACTTGAATCTCACCGTTACCTACTTAATAAGTGTACAAGTAAAAAAAAAATCAATATTGCCTCAACCAAGTTGAATATGAAATTTAAATAATGATTCACTCATGTTTGGGAAGTGATTATAATCAGTTTAATTTATAAATAAATAGAAAAAGTTATGGATAAGTGGGTAACACTTGTGAGTTTCATGAAATGAGTGGATAATTCTTTTTTTTTTTTTTTTTTTATAAATTAAACACCTCCCAAACAAGTTAAAAAGAATAGATAAATGTTTAGAGTTCAAATGTGACCCCACCAATGTATGAGCCCTTTGAAAAATTCCTCCTGTCAGAATAGATAGACTTTGAAAATAAAATAAATTATTTAAGTGCAATAAAAATTCAGAAGATTTTACATTGTGCAGCTTCTATATGGAGAAACACCGTATCAATATGATATTTACATGTATAAATCATAATGCTTGGTTTGGGTATAAAGAAGGAACATCATTGAAGTATTGTTGGATAATTTTTTTTTTTTTTTTTTTTTATAAATTAAACACCTCCCAAACAAGTTAAAAAGAATAGATAAATGTTTAGAGTTCAAATGTGACCCCACCAATGTATGAGCCCTTTGAAAAATTCCTCCTGTCAGAATAGATAGACTTTGAAAATAAAATAAATTATTTAAGTGCAATAAAAATTCAGAAGATTTTACATTGTGCAGCTTCTATATGGAGAAACACCGTATCAATATGATATTTACATGTATAAATCATAATGCTTGGTTTGGGTATAAAGAAGGAACATCATTGAAGTATTGTCTTGGACATTCATTAAAAAGAAACTTGCTAGAATTTCCTTCCTATATTTAGACCATGTTTGGGAGATACTAAAACATATAGAATAAGTTCTGTAGGAACACATGTTACAAGGATCATACAATAATGTGCCAGTCTATAATCACTAAATACCAAAATTAGGTATTTGGGTTGAAGACAATCACTGACTACGACTGATAAAGGGAGAAGGTCAAACTACTAAGTACTCACTCAGGCAGGTTGATCCTACTTGAAGCCCATAAATGTAGGATGATAGAATTTTTTTTTTTTTATTTTTTTTTTTAATTTTGACATTTCTTCGATTTCTCTTGCAAGTTTTGTGTTGCCACAAATTACATGGATGTTCAAAATAAGATTCATGTACCTTATGTGACTAAGAATTATGGAGTTCTTAAAAAAGTTGTATATTACATGTCAGTCATGGACTTTCAATTAACAAATAACAACTTGCATATGATGGGGATGTTTGATTAAGACAATATTTTATATTGTTCTCTCTTGTTGCCCCATAAGTCCAACGTGGTTTATTAATCAAGAAACCGTAAATTTGTAAAAAGAGCGTCTGATCAAAAGTGTGTATAATTTAAACACCTCCAAAACAAGTCAAAAAAAGAAGAAGGGTAAAGTAGATAAGTATTTTGAGTTCAAGTCTTACCCCACCAATTTATGAACAATGCACACCTCATGAGCTATTTAAAAATTTTCACTCAAAATAGAGGTGTTGTAAGTAGAATAAATGATTTAGGTACAATAAAGTATAGTTTTAGAGATTGTTTGGTATAGATTTTAAGCCAATTAAAAATCAATTTTTGACCACTATTTCACTATTCTAGCCTTAGGCCAACCTTGAAACCGCTAATCCCAATGACAATTCTAGTTGGCTTCTTGATAGTGGAGCTTCACACCATGTTACCACCGACCTGAGTAATCTGTCCGTTCATACTCCTTATGACAGATCTGATAACATAGTGATTAGAGATAGCACAGGTCTCCTCATCACCCACACCGATTCAAAATCTCTCTACACTCCATCTCATACATTTTTTCTTAAATAATGTTCTTTGTGTTCCCACTATGAAAAAGAATCTCATCTCTTTCTCTCAAATTGTTTTTTTTTCAATTTAATAATACATCCATTGAGTTCTTACCTAATTATTTTCTTGTGAAGGATCTCCGTACAAGGGCAACACCTTTGCAAGGTCGGACTAAGGATGGTGTATAAGTGGCCGATGTCCTATGTTAAGTCCTCTCCAGTAGTGGCTTTTTCAAGTGTCAAAACCACTTCTTTTGCATGGTGCCACGCAATTTTATGCAACATGATTTTATACCGCAAGTGTACAGTATCAAGTTTTATAATATAGTATTAGAGTAAGAGTGTCGAACCCACAGGGATTGATATTTGAATCCTATCGAGTACTATAATTATTTTAACTTTCACTTTATTTAGACAATCAATTTTTGAAACAATATTTTATTGCTAAATTAAAATGAATAGGATGAACGATGCAAAGTGAACAAAATCAATTTATAAAGTTTCTTATCAAATTATGAATGCCTAGGGAGTGATTTCACCGTACTATCGACAATGTTTCACAACTGTTATAACTATTTCTATCAATCTTTCCAAAATTTATAAGCAAGAACTCTAAATTTAAATTTATTCCATTTCCCCCCTCTAAAAAATCAAATAGAATCTATTTCTATATTTTAATTCCAATATCTCTATTCCAAACTAAACATATAGAAATTATCAAAGCACCTAGTTCTTTAAGTGGAATTAGCCTCGAAGATTCGCACTTTCTCTCAAAATATAGGAAATCTAGGTTATGTTATTCTTAGATCACGCCCAAATTTACCTCTCTCGAGCATTGAAATTTAAAGCATCAAATCAGTCAATTAGTGGCCAACTAAGTGAAAGCATTGTGCAAGAACAACATAAATAAATAACGGGAAAGATTAATTGAAATAAACATATAGGAATTAAAATATGTCTAAGTAGGCTACATCAAATCCCTAGGATTAAAGTCTAGTTCATAATGGAATTGATTGAAATGATAAAATACACAATAAAGAATATGGAGAAGAAGTAGGGAATAATAAAAACTAGTTTTGTTGCGTAAATTCTTCCCCCAATCGTCGTCAATCTTCTTACAATTACTTTTATTGATCTTTGCCTCTTGAGATTTTCTCCTTGCAATCCTCTTTTTTTCTCTCTAGAAGAAGAAAAACACTGTTTGGTCCGTCTTCCTAGGTTAAGTAGTAAGATGAATTTTCTTTCCATAAGAGTTTGTGTCAAAAAAGGAATCTACCTGATTTTTTCGGAAAAATGCCCCTGCGCGCGCTGCATATCACTTCTACGTTCTGCATATAAAATTCAAGCTCATGTGTGCACGAGAGTATTGGCCCATGTGCGCATGCCACTATGAATTTTTTTCATGTGTTGCACTTCGGTCCCTATAGTTCATTTGTCATTCCTTTTGGTTCATATTGACATCTTCTTGATTATTCATCCTCCAATACCACTTAATTGCCTCTCGCTCTTCTTCAATAATTAACATTATGTCCAAATCAACTTTTGATACTTTGCGATTTAGTCCCTAAACTTTTGATTAATCCCAAGTTAGCAAATTTCCCGCTCTTCTGT